CGAAGAAATTATATCGAATGGGCGCCGGATGACGTAGGATGAGGTTGGGCCGGGAGGAGGAGGAGGGAGAGTGCCGAATTAGTGGTTAGCGAGAGAAGGATGGGCCGCCGACTGGAAAGAGAAGGCCGAGTTGCCGCACGAAGCCGCACGAGAGCAGGTATAGCACAATGCGAGAGGAGTAAAGCTGTCCTGAAATGAGGTCGACATAATTGCACCCCCAGTCATACTGGAAGGCGGCGCAGGAGGTCTGGCCGCCATCCATTGTCTAACGCAGAGTCGACCTGGCTCTGATTAAATACTTGACACATCCCTGCGCGACGACCCGACGCATAACTTTGCCCGAATTGTAATTACGGCCCAGGATCGGACTCTGGACCCTCTTGCTCCGACTTGGCCGTTCGAAAAGGCCGCAGCTTTGGGGTCGTTCGATTCTCGTCGGACGGCCATTCCTCCTGCGCGATCTCTGGGGCTCGACAGTAAACTCGTCGCTCTTGTCTTTCCGTTCTGATCCGTGAAGATACTATACTCTTTCCCCCTCTTCTCCATTGACAGTCCTTTGGCAACTCGTGACTCTTGCAATTTCGCTCTAGCGAATTTCTCATCTACTTTAAATCAGCTTCGTTCTGGCGTGGGGCATGCCGGGATTATGCAATTTAAAATGAGTTAATTGAAGTGCAATAAGTCGTTAAAACTCCTGAGCAAATTAATTAATATAAAAGTCGGTTAGAACGGCCCGGTAAGCACTTCTGCGTTGTGGACCTGGATGCTGGATATGGTGCTGGCCCAGGAAAAGCACGCTAATGAAATAACGTACGCTCGAGGTATTCGCGTCGTATTTTCAGCCGTGCTTCATTATTTCCCGGGGAAAATGATTTCGAAATTTCTTTTTTTTTTTATCTCACTCTCCCCAGCCAGTGGTTACCGGTGCCAATTTCACAAGCACAAAGCCATTACAGATGTCTGTAAAATATTTCTCTATGATCCCATCCTCTCGGATCTGACGCGCAACTGACTGCTTCCGCGTTCGACACGAATCTACCGACACGGGCGCAGAGACGATCTAGGTCGATGCAGTTAATCGCGTGTAGGATGCACGAATGTGCAACTGATCCTAATGAAAACGCGACGCGCAGA